ATTTTTTTATCTTTTCTGTTTTATATATTTTTTAAAATTTTTTATTCACTGCTTTTTGCTTTCTTTCCTTCACTTCCACCATCACTTTCACTGGATAGAGGTCGCTTGGTAAAATATCTATCCAAAGAGGTTTGGCTTTGCCTACTTTTTAAAATGTTTCTAAAATGACTTAGGCAAATGTCATTACTCTGAGCAGCAATACAGCTAGTGTGAACCTTTTTGGGATGTTTCTTTTCAATAAAATCAGTTACTTTCTGATAATACCTCAAGATTTCCTTTATCAAGCGAGATCCTTCCACGACAAAGCAAACACGTGGACTGAGACCAATTAACAGAAGTGAATAAAAAATGGCGCTGTGAACTAATGTAATGTATGGTGAGTTTTTGTTCGTATCGTGGAGCAAAAATATGTTCAAATTTCATGTCGTATCCTGAAAATTTCATATGCTGGGGCGTTCGTATCCTGAGGTACCACTGTATATTATTTTCAGAAGAATCAAAATTAAATAAAGGAAAAACTGGAAACTTGATTTGAAGAAATGTTTTTGAGTGCATTTTCTTTATGGTCCTACTATACAATTTAATAAATGTTATTTCTCAACAATATTTAGAGTTTTACACCAAGAATAATGTTTCAAAAATGAAAAAACTCTCCGAATGGTAATGACATCATATCATAATTCAAAAAATTCTTGAAGAATGCATTTCAACATTTAATTAATGCATTAGAACAGCCTGGAAACTCAGTGTGTTCAAATATCTAAATTAAGCAAATTCGTTGAACAATGATAAAAAAACAAAAAAACACTGAATTCAAAATTATTAAAAATATTTTAGATATATAAGACATTAAAATATTTGTTCAAATATTATTTACTATGAAAAAAATAATGAATTGAACTTATGAATATATACATTTAGTTCAATTAATCTGCACAACTCTAATTCACAATTAATAATTTTCCTACATATATCAAATAATAGGAATATCATGTGAATAAAGAAACTGCATTCATAACTCAATTCTAAAACTGTATACACACACAATTTTATATTTACATTTTAAGTTAACTACAATAAAAGCATATTCTTTATCAAGGGAGGTATTTTCTTATACAGTATGTTCTCAATATAATAGAATATTCCTGTATTAAAAATAGTGATATGAAAAAAGTTCTTGCATATTTTAATTTGAAGTTCTAAATGTAAAATCTACTTTTATTAGTACTGACTTTTATAAAAACAATTAGAATATATTTTGAGACTCCCATTGTATCAATAAGACTGAAATAATATATCAATTTAAAAACTGAGTTAAATTAAGTAGCAAACATTAATTGTGTTAATTCCTGAAAAACTGACTTTTTCAGTAAATTTTTATTATAAAATAAGAAAATTTGAAAGTCAAAGATAATTTAAAGAACTGATAATTAATTTTCCAAGCATCTGCTTTTTAATTATTCTGCTCTTCAAAATATGGTTAAAACTAAAATGATTAATACTAAACTATGGTTAATATTAAAACACAAATATTTTAAATTGTTTTATAAAAAAATTGAAGTAAAATACATACTTATACTCCTCATATACTTCTTGTTTTGGGAGTGAAACATTTGGATCTTCCATTAGATGGGTTTGAATCCATGTACATGTTTGAGACACCTCAATATCTGCCTTTTTCCCTAATGGATTGTTATGACTTTTCCTGAAAGAAAAAAAATTAAATCAATATTTAAATATTTTAAAATTGTTCTTATATAGACATATGTTGTTGTTATTTAATATTAAACTTTTTCAGACAAGTTTAATGTTAAATAAATTATTTATTTAAAAATAAATAATTTTTAATTTTTTTTAATAAACATTTGGACTATTCTGTATTGTTATAATCAGTTAAAGTAGCAAACATTAAAAAGGAGTTTGACTGAAAAATTCATCTGTTTATTGTATTCTCCAGATATTACATATTTGATTAACATCTATTTTTCATTAACTTTTTCGAACTTCTTTAGTATATACAGAAAAATGAAAACACCAAAAAAGTTGAAAACCGTTTTTTAAATCAAAACTGCAAAAATATAATATATTAGGTTGTTTGGAAAGTAATATTCTTTTTTTTTACCACTAGACTGATTAGTCATATTTTCATTCTAAACCGTATTATCATTATATATTTTGACAGCTAGCATTTTAAGGCTTATTTGTAAAAAATTTTGTTTGATTTTGTGCAATTGTTTATTTTTTGTGTCCCATCAAATACGGAAGATCGAAAGCAGCATTTTCGGCATATTTTGCTCTTTTATTACTAAAAAGGTAAAAATGGTGTTCAAGAGAAAGAAAAAAATTGTGTGACGTGTATGGAGAAGATGTAATGACAGAACGACAGTCCCAAAACTGGTTTACAAAATATCGTTCTGGCAATTTCAATATTGAAGATGCACCAAGTTCTGAATGGCCAGTTGAAGCAATGAAAACAAAATAAAAGGTACTGATTGAAGCAAACTGCCGAATAATAACATGTGAAATCACTAAGAGATTAAATTTGTCAAATTGAACCGTTTATGATTACTTGAAACAAATTGGTTTCATTTCAAAGCTCGATATATAAGTTCCACATGTTCTTAAGGAGAGATGCTATCTTTGGTGGGATTTTAAGGAATTTTTTTTTTGGGAGCTTTTACCAGACAATTTAACAATTGATTCGAAAGTGTATTGCCATCGAGCAAACAAATTGAGTAATATCATTAAATAGAAAAGGTGGCCAGAATTGATCAATAAAACAGGTGTAGTGTTTTACCACGATAATGTCACACAAGTTTGGTAACTTGTCAGAAACTGTTATAACTTAGATGGGATGTGCTATCACACCATCCATATTCGCCAGATCAAGCACACTCAGATTATTACTTGTTCCGGTCTGTACAATTTTTTTTTAACTGTAAGACATTTACTTGAAATGAGAATGTCAAAAATCACTTGAATCATCAGTTTTTTGTAAGCAACGATCAAAACTTTTATGAACGTGAAATCGTGCTACTACCAGAAATGATGACAACAGGTATTTGACCAAAATGGTCAATAAATAATTCAATAAAATATTTATTTATTATAAAAATATTGTTTTTTTTCCACGGAAAAAAATGAAATTACTTTCTGAACAACCCAATAAATACTATTTGAAGTCTTTTTAAAACCAAAAATTTCAGTTTTTTTTTATTTTACAGAAATGTATAAACTTTCCAGAAAGCATAAAACAAAACATTATAAAGAACCAAAAATAATTCTAGTAAGTACTTTAATCATGGAAATCTATCAAGAATTTACTGTTCTGGTACTTTTAATATGATTTTAAGTGCTATCAGAAATTCCCAATTCCCAAATTTGGCATTATTATTTATTAGAATAATGATGAAACAGAAAACTCAAATGTTTTGAAGACAGAATCTTTTGTAATTTTTTAAAATATTTGTTGTGAATAAACAAAATATTCTACTATTATCCCTATTTTATTTCTGAATCAAATTTCTAGTGTTTGAATTTATAAAATTTATATTGATATAAATTATAATTTTGAACACTATGGATACAAATTATACGAGGGGAGTCCGATATTAAAGGTACAGGACAAAATTACACTAACTTTTATAATTAAAAAACATAATTAATACATTCCACAAAAACTATATACTTTTGTTTATTTCTCAACATTTATCCCAGTGTGACGGAATGTTTAAAGTAGTGTCACGCTGGGATAAATGTTTTTTAATTATAAATGTTAGTGTAATTTTGGCCTGTACCTTTAATATTGGACTCCTCATGTATATGGATACATTTATATAATTTGTATTCATACTTGTTTAAATTTTCCATAAATTTCAGAATCCTGAGAGTAATATATCTCAAACTAGCTGTTACCTATGGCTTCACCTGTGCAGAATTTGTGATTTGATAGAAATAACCCTCCCTCAGTACTTCACTAAGATTCTCAATCATTAGTTGTTACTATAAAAACAAAAAAATTGCATCTAAAATAATACAGTAGAAGCCGTTCTTCAGGTTAAGCCTTAATCCTTTCCCTCTCCCACATGGAGGAATTTCCAAAAATCCCTTCTTAGAGTGCATTTTCATGACATACCTTAACTGTGTACCAAATTTCTCCTCTTTAGGTTCAGCGGTTTGCTCTGGGCAATGATGAATCAATCAGTCACCCAGTCAGTTACATGTAATTTTATATATTTAGACTATTTTAGTGTGTGATGGTTTATTATGTGTATACTTAAAAAGCACATTTAATTCATTGTTTATTTCCCATAGTAAATGCTATTAATGTATTCGTCCATTAGTAATTGATCTTATTAAAAAATCTTAGATATTGCATAGTTTAATGTTAAACTATTTAATATGACAATTATGTATATATTAAGAAATTGTTTTCTTAATAAAGATACAGTCAAATCCACTTAATTTCACACTGCTGTTATTGTCACAAATTTTTATCCCCAACTGACCACCAAAAAATAAATGATAAATTTTATCTGGTTAATATCTCTCTACAAAAATCAGTTAATGTCAAGATATTCATGTCCATAGTGTATTTAAATATTCTGTTTATATCACAAAGTTTGCAGTTATAAGCAACTCAGCAAAGTGTTATTAGTGCATCTATTGATTTTTTTTATAATTATTTTTCTATTACATCATGCTGTATGTTATATGAATTATATAAATATGTTACAAAATATATCTCATTATTAACACTATAAAAAGTTTAATATAAATGAAATACTTAAAAACTTTGTGGCATTCAACATCAAAAAAAATATAAATAATAGACAAGTCTATTTATCAATGAATTTAATAAAACCAAAATGAAAACATTTAAAAGTTTTACACTAATAGTTTCAATAGTTTTTACATCTGTCATCCTCAGGAGAAGAACTCAAAAGCTCAATGGCTTGTTACAACTTCTTTTGCTTTGTTCTAGATCAGGCAAGTAAGGAGAAATCATCTGGCATGTAACATATCATGTGATTTCTATTCATCACATGTGTTTTTCAATCGTCCTTTCGATTTATCACCTCATCATCCTTTCTTCAATCAGCATTTTTATTTATTATTCTAATTAAAGCATATTAGTTTAATTTCTTTAAATATCATAATTTGAAGTCTAAAACTTTGACATGCATAAACATCTTTAAAGCTGAGTATGTTTACTACAGTATAATCTCTGAATAGCAGACACCATCAGGACCAAGAATTTTGTCTGCTATTTAGAGGTATCTGCTATTCAGTGGTACTGTACATGCCAGTGGCCATATCATATTTTAACCTGGTCATTATAAAGTGAAGAATACAATGGATTATGAAACAAATTTTCATTACGAATGTGAAAGTACCAAAAAGTATATGTAACATATATAATAAATAATATATTTTAATCTTTTCAATTGTAAAAATGACGTTTTAATTGAATTATAAACAGTAAACAGATTGTATGGAATACTTTAATTAAATGGAACATAAAAATTAAAACAAACATTGATTAATTATTAATTTATCAAAAACACCCTAGTAGAAGTAACAAAAAAGAAAAATGAAACTGTTATTATGAGCAGAAGGGACAAAAGTCAGTTTAGGTAATCAGAGTTTGAATGTCATGTTATGAAGGTGATTTGCTAGTCACTTCAAGGGGTAAAAAATATGTTTGATATTCTTGCATTTATAACATCATTTACAATCTAAGCAAATAATAAAAATCTATATAGTGATTTGTCTACTTGTAGTTATCAAGTAGGTATAATTTTTCAAACATTTTTGCTTTTTTAAATAAATAATTTATTAAAAATTAATTTAGCCATCATAAATTATGTCATAAATGCAAAAAAAAAACTGAATATCTTCCTACACTTTATAGCAACGATCGGCAATCAGTGGTTCACGGACCATTGATGGTCCACAAGAAAATTTGGGTGGTCTGTGGAGAAATTTGAACATTGATCAACCGAAAGTTACGCGAAGTATTACAAAAGAAATGCAAAATACTTAGTTGCTTTTTTCACTCATTGGGGTTTTTTATTCAAATCTAAAACCAAAAATGAAGTGACTGTTATCAATAAATAATAAACAATATTGTGAGTGTGATTGTCGTCCTTCATGGAAAAGCGCGAAGAATCCATAAACTTGTTTCAAACAAGCAGCAATGAACTTTAGGCTTGCATTAATTTGTTATAATTAAACATGTGAGTTTCATATTAATATAGTAAAATTGAACTTTTATGATCATTATTCTACAGATTTTGTATCGTTTAAAAAAATTTATGATAATGGTCCACGGGATTCAAAATCGTGACTCTAGTGGTCCGTGAGGTGAGAAAGGTTGCCGACCGCTGCTTTAAAGTAACCAGAAAATTGCCTTCATAACATGATCTTTGAACTTTAACCAAATAAACACTGTTGTCTTAACCTTAAAACTGTTTATTTTTCATTACTATTGTATTATGCTTCTTGTCAAATGGATGAATAACTTTGGAAAAGTTTATGGTTTCTTGGTACCATAAGCTTAATTCAACAATAAGACTGAAGTTTAATAACATTAATATGTATGATGATAAATGGTAATTGACAACTTAACCAGATTAGTGTTCTCTAATAGATAAAGAATATTGTTTGGGTTTTTTCAACCTGCTCTCCTCCTCTATTCCTATT